ATCTCAAAGGGAAGCAAGGTGGCGTTACTGAACGACAAACACGATAGTGGAGGGATAACTTCAATCCACCCATGTCTGTGGGACAAGACATTTTGTTAAGGCTCCTAATGGTCTAGCGGGATGTAACTATCAAATGGTATTGGTTGTCTTTTTTATGCCAAGCACCTCTTTGACTCATGTTCGTAACCCTGAATTTGTTTCAATTCCCACCGAGACATCCCGTTACATGCAAGACTGGACAATTACACCAAAACAAAATCCATTCACGACACTACAAAATCCATAATAATAAAAATGATCTGTTATAGCTTTAACGAAAACAATAGCCATTTGTGCGCCCAGATACTGTGTTTCCCATACTGAAATCTAAAACTGCACATGATCCCAAACTTTCAGGTTCTTTTTGAATCACATCCATTTATACGGTTTTTTTGTCTATTTATCGCCATACTTAGGCTTGTTTTCTTTGGCCTGTTTAATATTACTTGCTTAGGAATGACTCAATAAAAGGGAATAAATCTAAGTAGTCATACCTTATTCATTCCATCACAAATGACTCAACTGTTCGTTCTGCTTCTCGTCCTTTGATTTTTTACTATCCTCTTCATTACCCTCGTGATATGCCACCGAAAACACATATGGAGCATGTGCTTTCGTCCTACGCAATCATTAATGCCTCCGAATACTGAATTATCCTTAGCAATTTGATCTTGCCTGTAATCTGGCATGCCTCACGTGAAATATTGTCATATGGAAACTGTCAAATTCATGCTTTAATAATGAAGTATGAACCAGTATCCAAGTTGAGTAGAACTCTGTGAGTACAATTTAAAGTATTTTATTTGGATTCTGAATGAAAAGCGTAATATAGTGCAGTGGAACTATGTGATAATTCGAAGTATTTGAATTACTGAATTAACTGGGAATCCCCGTAATAGCACAATTTGGACCAAGTACAACTAGATGAGCACAAACGAACTCATTGTATTTAGAATTCAAAACCAGGCAGACACCAAGTACAAAAGAATCATTAGTTCATACAAATGTAGCGTGAAGTCGAGTCGAATTTGACTATGAACACCACTACAAAGGAACGCGTGCCAGGACATCCATAAAATCCCCCGTAAGCCAAATGTCAGAAGGCAGTTAATGGACCATATCGAGGTATATTTGCTGGCGATCTCGTGGTATCGAAAGAATACCAAGATCGTGCCAGGATACAAGCTTGGTTACTGAGCGTAACCATATACGCGCGAGGTCACAATCGAAGTAAGTATAATGGGTGTTTTTAGCACAGTTAAACAAAGAGCACACTAAACAGTCACTGGTACAATTGTTTATAATAATAATTGTTTTCATTAAACCAATCGTGTTCTCGTGATAAAAATAAGTCACTACACAAACAACAAAGTTCGTCTCGCAGTAGTCTGTCGTCATCGCTTATTAGTTACTTTGATTTTATTTTTCCTCTTCATTTGTCATAATTTATTTTTTAAAATCATCTCTAGAACCTATTAATTTGATACAAACGACTTATCTAACCTTGTGGGACAGTAGAGACAATAGAATAACTTGCTGTACTAGACGTGCACCATTGAATAAAGTTATTATTATTAAGCGAGAAGGTCAGTTCAGAAGACTACATATCAACAAAATCAGCAAAACAAAAGCGATATTAGGATTCATTTATGCATTAATTACTTTACTTCCCTTGTGCTGTGTAACATTATACTTAATTAACTCCTGTCATCAAAGAATTGTGGAAAAATAAGACTCAAAAATGAAAAGCTGTTTTGAATTGACCAAAAACAGTCACTAATTAATGCTAATATCTTAATTTATTTCCTTAAATTGATCAAAATCTCATGTCGTAATGCTGACATATTGGACATTTTAGCTCCACAAAATTTTTAAATTATACGGTTTGTTTCTTCCCAAATAAATCGTACTTTTTAATGTACCAAATTTACTTAAGTAAATTACGACTGCCAAAGTGACTGTTGGATCTATTGAAGCGTCCAGGTCACCCGATTGAGATATGCGCAAAATCGAAGTTCTCAAAACAACGATTTGTCTACAATAGCGGTTCTTTATTGAACAATACACAAAAATTAGTTACAAACCTCAACTTGTGAGGTGTCTCAAGCATTTAAACGCGTCCTTTTGAATGAAATAAAAACGCTTCTTGTGACACTAATGTAAAGAATAATTGCAACGTACGATGGTACAAAGGAGAGCTGATAGCAGTGTCTAAAGTTGATAACACTTTACCAACAACCCAAACCTGAACCAAGAGCAAAGAAATATTAAAACTGTTGCGTTTAAACAGATGCACAAAACTGTAGATAACCGCTACAGTGTTTAAGGCAAAGTAATTATAATGATGAATACAATGATAAGTACAATAAACGTTATAAGTGTAAGTAAATATTTCAGAATATTACATGACAACTTGCGTTACAACATAAGTTTAAAAATTGTTGGGCATGCATTTTTTTACTGAATATAAATAAGTAGTATAAAACAATATGCAAAAGACTAAACGAGAAGTGAGTAAGAACAATGTAAAACAAACTTAATAGTAACTATATATTTTGACACACCAAAAAATTCACTGACCAGCTTGTTGAGCCTTCAGTTCCAAGTAAGATTTTAGTTCGTCTTCTATGTGGAAGTACCCATCAAGCCAATAATTTCAATGGTCGAGATCATGAGCGAATTGAAGCTAAACCACCATGGAAAGCATGGAATCAGTGGACGGCCGTTTCGTCTTATTGTGGGACTCCTCAGCAGTGCGCATCCACGACCTCGCCACGCGAGATTCGAACCCAGGCGAGGTCGTGGATGCGCACTGCTGAGGAGTCCCACAATAAGACGAAACGGCCGTCCGCTGATTCTATGCTTTCCATGGTGGTTTAGCTTCAATTCGCTCATGATCTCGACCATTGAAATTATTATAATATCCACAAAAACCCTTCTCTAATTTAAACCAATAATTACTTCTTTTTTTATTGATCTGATCAACGAATATAATACTACATCTATTGATTCAGATCTTAAAAAGTAAAATCAGATGGAGTTCAGGACTACAAGTAATGATTTTATTTAAGTCTGAACAATGTATATCTGCAAACTTATGAAAAATAATGATATGACACTAAAAAGAACAAATTGCTTGCATTGTATTGATGCCTGTAGGTCAAACCGTAGTTATAAGAGCAGTTATGAGATCTAATTCAGGTACTGATTACTTCGTCAAGATATCTTTCAGGATATAAAACAAGTGACCTTCTGTTAATCAATGACAAAATGATAGTGAGATAAGAGTCGAGGTCAATACTAAATGACTGTTGTTCAAGAATTCAGTCCTTATGTGCTCGCTGGCCAGGACGGAATACAACGCAGATAGTATATAATTTTTTCATTGTGCGATTCAATTTTATAACACAACTAATATGATAATATAGAGTGAATTCTTTATCACACATCATTATAAAAAAGGAACTGAAACATGGGTACCTTTATACTATAAGTTGAAGAGAATAAAGTGATAGGTTCGCAATTGATTAACACCAACTCAAGAAGAGTAAAACATTCAGCATGTATTTATGTATCAAAGGGAATACAAACACACAATAATCCGGGTTTTTAATAATTATACAGTAAAAGTATGAAAAATAATTTCCGGTAGAATAGTTACGAAAGCTTAGCTGAACTCAGTATTAATTACTTTATGGCAAACATTTACTGATTGTTATTAATATCACAAACTGACCTAAGTTAGATATCCAATGAGAACCGAAAATCATAGGGCAGATGTTTCGTCCTAGTATGTCACTCCTCAGTAGTGCACGTCACGACCCCACCACAGGAAATCGAATCCAGGAATTCCAGTTCCATGTGTGTTTAACCTCTAGACCAGTGACCCAGAATTCAGCGATGTATATACTTAACTTCAATCAATTCGCAATATTGTTCAAGCATCCCTCTAAACTGTGGGTGAGTAGCCGCCTCATACCCGACATGTTTGGACCACATTGGTCACTGCTTCTCCCTAGATTTTCAGAATTACTTCTTGAAATAAGATACTGGTGAAAACAGGACATTATCGAAGGTTATTAATTTTATGAATCGATCTAGGTTGGAATGAGAAGCACTAGGTAACTGTTTCATTCTTGGACCTGAAACTCCTACCGCAATTGTATTTATCTCTACCTCATTTAGTCGATCTGAGAGACATAATTTTACTTTATATGGCGAAATCAAGAATGATATATACAATTTTAATTCAAATGATCGACTATTGGACTAGTTTGAAAAAGAAAACATTGGAAAATTAATACAACATCACTATACTATCTTTTTTGTACAGAAATGATGGTACCGTCGACTGATTTATAATTTTCCGTTATAGTCTACCAAAATTGTAAGATGACATTCTATTTCACGTTTATTTCTTATAGATTAATAAAATTGCGGTATCCATGCCAAACACCTCATTAAATAAGCATTACTTGAGTATGATTTTGATTCATTAAAAAAAATGAACTGTATACATAATCCAGCAATTCAATTATTTCCTTAGGATTTAAAGAGGATATTACTTATTGTGCTAGCGTCTTAATGTTGGAATGATGATAGCTATTATTTACATGGGTATGTTTTATTATATTGCTAAAGGATGTCTGGGTGAAGAATGAAAAGTCGTATCTGTAGTAGCTCAGTCTTTCAAAGTGAGTGAAAAGATATGAGCATGAACCGCAAACTTTTTCTTGAATAAAGGATAGACGAAAAGGAAATCTCTTCCGTACGTTTAAACTATCTCGTGTATCGATTGAGAAAGGGGAGAAATTATTTCTTATTTAGCATCTCTGTCGTTCAGTCTATAAAGGGAGCAAAATATTTGCCATTCACTAATTGATTTCTACTCAAACTTAAGAGAATGGGATGAAAATTTGACCTTGACTGGATTAATTTAATTGGTTACTAGAACAAGTCATCTCACGTAAAAATATAGCTGGGTCTGGTCAACAGTCCAAGAACTTTGATTTATATCATTATCGTAACGTGAATCAATAAACTTTATTTGTTTTAGACTATTATTTGTCATTACATCAAATCTCATTGTTTAAAAATTACATAAGAATTATGAGCTTTGGGAATTTCTTGAGACGCATATCATTCGACAGTGAAAAGGTTCATACGGACTCATCAGCTCCTGAAGGTAATGATCCACCTGGGATGAATTCATTTTTCACATCACCAAGTCGAATATTCGAAAGTGTAAATGCAAAAACAGGTCATCTAGTATCAGATTTAAATCAGAAATTAGATATCAGTGGAAAACTCGATTCGATTAAACAAGTTTCGGTTGGTAAACTGGAACATGTTGTACGTGGATCTTCTGTGAATCGATCAGATAGTAAAGATGAGACTCAGAAAGATGATATTATAGAAAATATTCCTAGGATGTCCTATTTTGATCAAGATGTCAGGGATTCGACTAGAAATCTTTCTTCACAGGCACCTTTTAATAATAGATCCATAGTGGATTTAGATAAATCACAGACAGAAAAGTCTACAGGTTATGTTCATTATTCACCAAGTTATGATTCACAAAGATCTGAAGAATCCCACTTAACATCAAGTGGTAGTGCATTGAGACGACAAAGTACACAAAATACTCCACGTCCACCTAGACCACCCCCTCCAAGTAGTGCAGCTTTGAGTAGAGCTATGAGCTTGGATGAAACAAATCTTTCTGCACAAATAAAACCATCTTCATTCCAAGAAGACAGAAATCAGTTAACAGATGAGCAGCCAGTTGATCAAAAATTAAAATATCCTGCAAAGGATCGCGGCCAACCGTTTAAATTAATAGATGAACCACGTGTACTACAGCAACCTAGCGCATCTGTAATTGAGGAGGAGGAAAACAGTTCAGCATCTGAATATGGTGAAAATGGTGATCAGCCAATTTATAAACAGGAAAGAGACTTAATACTTACCGCAAGCGGTCAAACTAGTTCCACAACGAAGTCATATGAAACTCAAAATATATCAACAGAAGATAAAACATTTGCTCCTCCATGTCCAACTGTGCCAAACACACCTAGTATAGAAAAAATTCAAGAATTTATGGATTTATATACATCAGCTTTGATAATAGGCCGGTAAGTTTAAAATGATACAAGGGTAATGTACATTTATGGTCTTAAAACAGTTGATTAACAATTTGGAATCCTAAATAATATTTAACCGTATAGCTAATCTAGTTAGGTGTCATTTGTTATCAAAAATTATTACTACGGATTTGGAATTATGTTAGACAAAACTAACAGCTTTTTATACTATTTCTAACAGACTCATACTTTATGGTCGATATAATTTGTCACTGAAAAATATATGCCTTTAACATTCATCTTATCTCAGCTACAAACGCGTTTCTCAATTATTTCAGTATAAGTTTCCCCTGGTAGTCTTATCTTAACAAAAATATTCACACTTGAATATCCCCTTAGTTTTAAGAGATTATAGTCGCCTAGGGAAAAAGTACAAGTTATCAAAACCTAGCTCAAAATGACGTGATTCAAAAAGCTTAATGTTGTAATGTTTTGTAGTTTAGTAAAAAAAGTTACCGTAATTTCCAGCATCTCACTTTAGAATTTTAGTGAACTAAACATATAAAAAATTCATGTTCTATGAAAAAACTTTACTTTAAATAACCTACACAATGATTGCATAAGAAGAAATTTATTCATTTAATGTGGCAACTCTCTTGTTTACAAAAGAATGGAGGAAATTATTGCGTACTACACGTATACATCAATGTTCAAATTGTGATGTCATGGCCAGTCAGTAGTAATTATACAAAACAAGGTACTGTGGATATTGATTTCACATGTAACTTACTTTCCTAAAACAAAAGACTTTTATAAAGTAGTATGATAAAGAATTGTGAACGAAGATATTTTCTAACAAGCCATACTTAACTCCTACCTAATATAAATCAGCGTCATTTACTGTTTTTGACTGATGGTCAGAAAATTATCACGTTATCCACGTATTAGACAAAAGATGCTGTTGAAATATTCCATACCGTACTTAGAACTAGTATGAATATGATGAGATAGAAAGAGCTCTTTGATCAAATATAAAAGGATGCTTCATAATTTGATTACTGTGATAATGAAAAAACTAGTAGTAGTTTCTGTCCTCCGCTAAAAACAGTACTGATTATCTTCCCATTCGTTGGCATATTTAAATTTTTTTTTTCAGCATAGGATTTTGTAAATTAGTTTACAAACTTTCGATAGGCTTAAAGGAATTTAAATTTTTCGAGCTAAATATCTTAATAGAGTTAGACAGAATAACAGCCTGTAAGTTTATTTAACTCAGTGTATAAAGGTACTCTAAGTTTTGTCTTCTTTAAAAGTCTGAATAAATGAAATTTTTATTCCATCAAATTGATTTAATAAGGTTAATCAACATTTTATTGAATCAAATCAATAATAATTCATCATCATAATTCTCCGTTTGTCTTAAGAGTTTTATTTTGCCTAAGTGCAGCGATTCTGATGACCAAGTACTTAATGGTTCACATATGTATATGAAATTAATGTATCTTGGTAACTTAATAGTATCCAACTAAGTAGTAGTTCTATGTTCACCCGTAACTAGCTTTGAGTCTAATTTACGAAGTTTTAGTAATAAGTCGTAACTAAAAGAATTCAATCATGAGAGTTATCATTCACAACGCTTGATGATGACCTCACTACATAAAGGTTAGAAACGGGAAAGATTTAATTTCAACTGAATGGTCCAAATGTATTGTGGTGGCAGCTAAAGCTATAGATCTTAAGATCGATTCCATATCCTAAGGCACAACTTTCTAGGAAGTAATGAAATAATCTGAGCCAATTTTCTAGTTCATCTTAGTTTTTTATTAATGTCAGCTGATGTCAGTTCATGATGAATGCTGTCTTAATGTTTAAAATACTCTGAAAAACTATTTAAAATCATGAAATGAAATTGCTTGGTTTCTGACGAAACTAAGTAATAGTTCCAGTGGGTTATCAAGTTAAGAAAATTGTATTCGTTTTTAAAATGACTTGCCTGAGATACATCACCTTACTAAAAGATTCTTTATTAAAATTATTTACCGATCTACACTTTCTTCACTGATTGTGATATGAAATAAACTATCTACTGTAATTTATTTCTTAATACTGTTACTTCATAAGAACTCATTTTATAATCCAAATCATTTTGAGACAAACTGTTCGATGATTAATCCTTTATACTTTTTTTTGTTTTATACATTTAGATCGGATTATTTAAAGAGTAAAGAAAATGAATTACAAGAACTATTGATTGTAAGTTAACTATTTTGGGTAATTTCTTTCTTTCTCCTTTTTAAAAAAACTATGCACAAAATTTATAACAGGGATTATTTGTGATATCATTTGGTTTGAATAAGTGAAACAGAGAGATGGAACTGGATTCACACAAAATACGATTGTCAGGTCACTTATATTGGTTATATTAGGAACTTTTGAAATGACAGCAATTTGTCTATTGAAAATCGACTTATCTTGAAAAATCGAGTTAGTAAAGTATAAATTTGTACGTGATTATTATCCATGTAATATGTTTTTTCTATACAGGCCTTTCAGATGGAAGAGCGTGAATACTGAACATTTTTCTATTTTGATGTTTGTCTGATATATGTGTCAGGATTGATGCAACTAAGAGGAATAAATTGTATCGATCACTGATAAATGATCATCTATCTTGGGGACACGGAAATATCCAAGATTAAGTTTTAAACACAACATATATTCAATATACTCTATTACTAAGTAGTAGTTTAACCAGACAGATTACAGTTTCAATGATGAATGAAGAGTTTCTTTTCGGAAGGTGATTGTTAGCTTTGTTTAGTAGTCTGTACGATTACACATTTTTGAGAAATATCAACTCGATCTGTGCACTTTGTTAATATTTTAAAAATATCTTAGTTTATTCATTTGGAACTATCTTTGAGCTCTATAAAATGGAAGCTGATACAAGTGTTTCCCTCGTGCACTCGTTACAGAATTGTTGTCATACATAAAAAAAGATTATTCAGAGTTTATCCCATTGTTACCATTATTTTTAAAAAAAATGTGGTGGTATGTTGCTCATATCATCATTGGCAACCTCACCATGTCATACATAGCACGAACATTTCACATTCATAACTTTCAACCTGATATTAAGTTACAGAGACAGTGTACATGTCTTCGTCTTATCATAGCAACAACATCGATTAATTTTTCTGTTCTCGTAATTTATGTCCATTTTAATTAAACTATCAATCATTAAATATGTTCACTTCATAATTACATAATTCACTTATCAGTTTTATACTAAATTTCCCAGGTATTACAATCTTTTCCTTCACAAAGTTTACCATTGTAACTTAATTTTTATCCGATATCAAAATAACGTTACAGCATTGAAGAAAAGTTGACTTCCGAAACAAAAATTTCGTTGTTAATGCAATTCCTGCCGATTTTATTTCCATTGACTTTCAGTTGGTCAATGTACATGTACTGTGAAGCTTTGTATTAAAAATCTTAACTCAAAGTAAAAGAATATGATTTTTTATGTTTCAAACCAGTGACCCAAAGTTACTTTTTTTTCTTCCTATTTTTCCCTGATAAACTGATTAGTAAAATTATATCATCAATCGGTGACTTTATTAACACAAAACCGGTATGTGAATGTCACGGTGTCTAGTACTTTTGGAAAATTAAGTGAACAATATTTTAATTATTCCATAAAGGTAATAAAATTTCTCTACCTTGTCTGTTTATAATTTCCCACCTAGTTTCGATTCAGCAGTCTATATTGTTGGATTGAAATGTTTGGGTATCATAATAGTGTTATTCCATATTATGTAAATTTAACTACTTCTTATGCAAATAAAACGTGATTGACATTTTAACACAGTAACTTTTAAGGACTGATTTGATATGACTGTCATATGTCATATGAAAATCCTTCATGTAGAACAGCTAATTAAAATGAATAACATATAATAGGTTTCTCTTTGTCTTTGTGGTCAAATCTAATTCTACCTTCCTTGGTCAAAAAAATCGTATAGTAGCCTAAGCTTTAACAGCACAGAACATATGGTATATGCAGGAACTTCCAGTAGTGTTATCAAAGTTTTGAACATTTGACACTGTGATACATAATATTAGCACTTTTTCTGTGTTAAGAAACCAATATTTACATTCTCCTGGCTTAATTTCTGTCGCTTTATATTAATTAAATGCTTATTTTATGGGAATAATTGCAATAAATTAGTTTTCAAACAATGTTTTTTTTGTCCTTGATGTTCAGGGGTATGTTACATTTGCCAAGTTATTTATAATAATATTTCCATAAAACTGATACTACATCTAATTAATTTTTGACCACTTTGTTCCTTTCACCATTATTTTCATACTTCTACGCATCTATTTATGGATAGATGCCAGCTGGGAGAATTGCATTTGTTAATGCACTAGAACAAGAGGTGAGTTGATCAGAATGTTGAATGAATTTAGTTGGTATTTTCATTTTATTTTTCGACTCTTATTTGAATGATACAGCATATAAAGGCTACTGTTATGTATAAAAGACTATCATCCAATTTATTGTTCCCATTTTCTATATAAAAATGAGTAAAATCTAGACTTTATTCTATGAGAAATGAATTCATTTTCAGATACATCTCGTTTAATTAGATAAATATCAAGTCTTTCTTCCTTATAAATTTGTCGTCCATATGAGCACATATATTGATACTAAATGTTGAAATAGTTATCTGATTTTATGGTGTAGTAAAAGGGAAGTTAGTTCACTGGTCGAATTTTAAGTTTTTTGCCACTTAACGAAATGCATTCCATTCAACTAAAAAAACTAAATATGCTCTTTTAAGATTTCTACTAGTGTTGATCAATATTCTGTTTAGAGATATTTTTCACAAGCCTTTCACTAAAGCACTCTGGAGCAAACTATACAGAGGATATATTCTTAATAGTATAGGTAATCGTGGGTTCTAATGGTAGTAATTTCAGTTTCTCTCAACTTAATCATATCCTGAATGACGTGAAGATGATATTTTTTAATATACATTAATGTGAGTTCTTTTTTCGACTGTAGTTAAGCCTTAGTGAAAATGGAATGAATAAAGTCTTTGTCATACTATCTTCATATTAGTTGTTAGTCAATCTAAACTTAGAACTATCTTAATAACCATTTAGATGCAACTCCGTATCCATCCGATCAAACTACTGGAGATGATTAGGATCATTTGATGGTACTTCCATGCCTTAGTGATAATGGATTACTACTGACTAAACTATTTGACATTTTTTTGAGGAAAGAATTTTCAAATGTAGACCATATTAAAATCTAATAACCTGATTGGGCCTCTTTTCGAAATTCAGAAGAGTGATCACCTGTAATTCAACTTTCTACTTCATTTCTATGCTCTCATCACTTGATAATTTTGACTAGATACTTTGTATAACAATGATATACTTATAGTCCTATTTTAAGTCTTAGTTATAAGCATTGTGGTTCTAGTTAACCTATACTACTATTTTGAGTGATTAATACACTCTGCTCGAAACGGGTATATTCTTGATGGTACTTCAAACTGCAGTTTTGAACTATGTAATATGTTTGATGAAACTGTGTCAATAAAGTCTGAATTTGATTTAAAATCTTTCTATCAGTTTTCATCTAAAGTTCAAAGAATTACAATCTAAGTTGTTACTAAGTTATTTAATTACATTATATTTAATACTCGAGTAAAAGCATGAACAAAACAACAACAATCTATCGAACGCAAAATTATCTTTGGGAGGAAAGTATAATTTTAATAAATAATGAAAATAGAGGAAAACAAATTGAGTAAATTATTTATTCTTTTCATTTATTTTTGTTTTATTATCGAATTATGAAAATTGTTGTTCTTACTAATAACACTTTTTTTGTAATTTCTTACTATACGAGTGACATATTATTTTAATTGTGTGAATAATAATAACAAAACAAAACGATTCACTAGTTAGAATCTAATTCATTCCCTGCATTCTTTATTGGCATAATTCCACAAGTGGATAAGTTCATCAAAATTGTTATTGTTTTTTTTATATTTTGTTAGTGGAATTCTTTCGTAAATAATATTTTCTCTTTTCAGTTTTTGATTATATTTGTGATAAAAGCGATAAGGAATACAGTAGGCAGTCAATGAAGTATATTTTGCATACTAACATTTGTTTAAACTTTATGGAGAAAAAATACTGATAATTGCTTGCCCAACATATTCAAATATATGCAGAATTTATCCACACTTAAATGGATAGCTTGTAAACATTAGTTCAATTTGAAATGTTCTATCTTATGTTGAATAGGACAGTAATTACATAAGGCACATAGTCACCTAGATATGTGATAAACTGAGTGGAGTTTTACATCTTAAATGTTGAATTCCAGTTGGTGTCCAAAGTTATTGAACTTACATACAGAGTTGAAATTCCTTGGTATGGTGGTGTTTAGGATGGTGGGTGACCAATCTAGAGGGGCACCAAGCTAGGACAAAAGATATGTCTAATTCTCACTACTTTCAAAAGTTCTGTTGCTAATATCAGTCTGTAACGAAAGTTTTCTTTGTCTATATAACACTGAAATATGTGCATTAATTAATTGCTAAGTGATAACCGATCGTACATTTGTAAACAAGAGTAAAAAGTGTTATTGAACATCCAAATTTGTGATGAGTTTCCATGGTTGTCTGTGATAACTTTCTATGGAAAAATATATTATACATGTGAAGATTCACATTGAGAATGTTCTAAAACTGAAAACATGCTTAATACTCCTTCAAATCGAGTAACTTCCCAATTTTAATTATGTTTAACAAGACCAAATATCAGGTAAATGACTTTGTTTAAATATTTACCGTACTTGATTCATTTATCATAATTCGACCAGCATTTATGAAAGGTTATTAAATATTTTTGGTTTGGTTTTAAATCGACACTTGATATACTTTTTCATTTATTGTTATGTCTTTTCACTAACATCAGTCTCGTCGTACACAAGGTTTGGTTGATTTACAAGCATTACCAAAACTACTTGATCAAATAAGTTTATTACTTGTGGAATGTCAAAACGCTGAAGACTTTCAACCAGCTAAGAAACTTCTCTCTATATCACTGAAGTTTTATACTTATGGTAAGTTTTCGATACACTGCTGACGTTTTGTATCATTTTTTATTGAAATAGTTTGATTTTCTATGCATTCCGATTTATAATTATTGGTATTACCGTGAAACATTCAACAGAGCTTATTGATTGACTTCATTAATTCAACCTTGAACTAATTAGATGTAATGTCAAACGACATGGCTTGTTATATTTCAAGTCATTTCATATATTGGTTTTTTGTGATAACCCATAGATCCATCGGTATCTACAGACCGAACCTTTATTTTCGTGTATATCAAAAGTCAACCAATTTGGCAATCTTTAAGGTTTTGGAATGCCTGCTTTTTTCAATCTTTACAGGAGGCACGTTCAAAGGCAGAGGAATCATCATATGAGTAAGTCGCATAACATTTAATTATGTCTAATCTGAATTTTACGATGGATGATCAAATCCTATGTAATTTCACTACTTCAATAAAAAATTCAACAGGTATTAATTAGTTGTATCTAATATTTTTTTTGGCTTGGTTCATTGTTCATTTATTAAAATAAACTCATTATTTATTATGGCATTTATTACAAGCGGCTCTTAAATTACTGTAAAACCCAGTAATATATACACTATAATTATATCATTTAGCTCATGGTCATAGTACACAAATTCACGAACAAAAATTGGAAAGCATGGAACGATATATCATTATATGTGAAAATTATATTTGAAATATTCTCAGCGATTGAAATATAACTAATTCCAACGTTTCGTCCAGCTAACTTGTCTGGACTTCTTTAGGGTAGTTAGCTGGACGAAACGTTGGAATTAGTTATATTTCAATCGCTGAGAATATTTCAAGTATAATTTTCACATATAATGACTTCTCTATACTCGGCGCTCAATTACTGTCAAACTATTCGTTCTAATCTTGACGAATATTCGTATAAATTATTTTCCAATCGAATTAAATTATCAATGAAACGATATAGTTTTTCATCTAATAGAGGGTTTAATTAACCTCATTATTTATATATTACACCGAATACTTTGGAAAGATGAGATTTGGTTCTATAGTTTCATAAAGTAACAGTGTCTACCTAGTATATTATTGCTCAAATGTCTGCTCTTAATTTAGATACTAAAAGTTGTAACATATCAGCAGTTAACATAAAAGTATTTCAAGACTATTTAGTGACTGCTTCTGGCCAGTAATCAAACTTTCACAGAAAGATATCTCAGTATTTATTACACATAAGTTTCCTATATACTAACAGGGTTGTATCGAAATTTCGAAATCTATAACCTTGAAGTGTCTACTTCATTGAGAACAATAAGAAGCCTGCCAAATGTGATTCACTATTGTTTTAAGTTACAGACTACTTGTTAAGTCTTCTTATACGATCAAAGAAATTTGTTCAATATCACAAATTAAGATAGCGTAGTTCAACATTCTGTTGAAAGTTTACTTCGAATTTTCTAGGTATTTGAGTATTATGTCTCGTTCGCTGATTATTGTTAAACATTTGGAAAGAGTTTTCCTAATGGTTCTATATTAATGTTCTGTATATTAAATTCATCAGAAAGAATAAATACGACCAAACTCTGTGATTCAAACTGCCAATAGAATTTGTCACTAATTGGAACTTTAAAAGTAGTAAGTCTTCTTTAAACTCAGTCTGAACATCCATTTACTAATTAGTAAAAAATCCATCTAGATTATGGTTTCTAGCAAGAGAACGACATGGTCCCTTGGTTTTCAAAATATAGTTGCTAGGTATCGAGTTCCAATTGCACTCATCCTAGTAGCAACATAGTATATTGCAATCGATTTAGTTTGAAGTAGTCACCATACGAAACATTTGCTGTGTACATACGAAATTCCAAATGCACTGTCAGGTTCCCTTAAGGGTGAAATGTCTGGTCTAATTCCGTGAATTCTTCATCATTATAGGTTTTTATTATTGAAAAATTTACCTCACCAACACTTTAAAGACAAATACTAGTTTGGTAAAGGTCTCATTTAATATAGCCTGTATCTTAGTAACCAGAGGATAAAAAAGGCGGAACTAGTAAAAATATTTCAATCAAACTATTAGTTATTATCTACTCTGACAAACAACTTACAAACAAATACCTATCTTTCAATGTACCTACTTGCGCACCTACATGCATATATATATATATATATATATATATATATATATATTATACAGTTGACGTATCTTCAACGGATTATATTGATTTAATGTATTTGTTCTATATTGATTATAGGTTAAGTAAACTAACTATACAATTAGGAGTTATAGAGATATGAAACTTCCATCTAAAAGTTTCCTTTCAAGATATTTTCAAAAATGTGACTTTATTTTCTAAAATTAAAGTAACAATGTCCTTGACCGTGATAGAGACTGATTTATTTTAGTGTTATTGACTATCTTTCTTTCCTTGAATAGATTTTGTGTGTGTTTACCTTTGTCAATGCCCAGTAATTAAAATACATCAGAATCTCAATTAAAATCTAATTTATTTTTAAACATGTATGAGTATGGAATAGAAATAAATTCGTAGTGTATGCAGACGGAAATAATTAACCAAATTAATTATATCTGAGCAAATATCAACTGATCTATGTAGTTAATAGAAAAAGAGTCAGAACTGATATTCAACTAATCAGGTGACTAGTAATCTAAGGTGAAGATAAATGTCCTAGTACTTTTATAACATCTAACTTCTCGTGGGTGATATTCTAAGGAAAAACGTTTGTTGGCAAACAATTAACTCATGTATAGTTTTTGTTTGGAGCATATTTTAAGAAGAGTTTTTTCCACATTTCGTTGCAGTCACACACAGACAACTAGTGATATAGTCTGGCATTTTCTCTATTTTTGTGTTTTATGTTTAATTAGTAGGGCTCTGTGTATAATTTATTTTATATGCTGATGTCATTAAAATCAATTCTGATCATTATGTGTCTTGTATGACTAGATTAAGTTTTCACGCTTTTAACATCAGAAGAACTGATAACATTTACAACATAGACAACAGATATGCTACACATTTTTCGTAAGGTCAAAATCACCATTATTCGGTTTGGCGGTCAAACACTCTGTAGTCACCCTATCTATCTTAATTAGTGCTTAAGAATATTCAATACAAGTACGTAGATTGATAATCGTCAAACTAAAAGTTGATAGAGTACGATTACGACAAATTTATTCTAGCAACATTACTGTGCAGTTCATTCGATGGACTTAATTTAACAGTGAAAGCCAGAAAGGATCCTACTGATAGTCAACTGCAGATCAGTTCGCAAAGCCATCCCACCTTAGTTCAGAGAGATGCTCATCATCACACATACAATTCTAAAGTTAAACCGATGACCTGGATTACCTTTGTTGAAATTTATTATCAACAAACTGTGAATCATTTGTGTATACATTATGTATATAAATTGATAAAAGTCAGAATCGAAACTTTTTTTGTAACTATTCACAAATTATCAACATTTAACACAATAAATCGAGTCCGTTTAGAATACTTACTTACTTACTTAAGCCTGTTACTCCTATTGGAGCATAGGCCACCGACCAGCATTCTCCAACCCACTCTGTCCTCCGCCTTCTTTCCTAGTTCCATCCAATTCTTGTTCATTTATCTCATGTCTATTTCCATTTCTCGGCGTAATGTGTTCTTTGGTCTTCCTCTTTTCCTTTGGCCTTCAGGATTCCATGTGAGGGCTTGTCTTGTGACGCAGTTGGGTGCTTTCCTCAATGCGTGTCCTATCCACTTCCAGCGCTTCTTCCTGATTTCTTCCTCCGCTGGGATCTGGTTTGTTCTCTCCCACAGTATGTTGTTGCTAATAGTGTCCGGCCAACGGATCCGAAGTATTTTGCGTAGACAACTGTTAATAAACACCTGTATTTTCTGGATGATGGCTTTCGTAGTTCTCCAGGTTTCTGCCACATACAGTAGAACTGTCTTGACATTTGTATTGAAAATCCTGACCTTGGTGTCGGTTGACAGTTGCTTTGAGTTCCAGATGTTCCTCATTTGTAAATTTATACAGTTTCAATTATTATTGCCATATATATATATCCCCTTTGATTATGAATACAAGGTGTGTCAGCGCTATCATTATCAATGAGAGTTTAGTTCTCTCTGAAACGCGTAAATCAGACCATGTTAAAAGAGAATCACAAAATTTATAATCTTCAAAGATTGATAAGAGATGAAATGGTTTAAGTGAAAAAAATTATATTCTCGGAATACTTATGATTACCATCATTATTGAGATCAACATTATTTACTGATTAAACAGTTGTTTAGGATGAGTTATTGAATGTCACCAGTCGTTTGTTTGAATTTGACATATATGAGCTCTTGAACAGACAGCTGTTTACAGTATTTCTTTCTCTTTTTGTAAGTCACTGGCGTTATGACTATTGTTAATTTGTCAAAGGGATAATTTAGTTAGGAAGAACCAAATGGTTATCAAACAATGTGTCGATCAAAAACTCTTACACTCCTTTCCTTTTACCTCAACAGTAAAACTTAATTCTCATCTGTCGCTTGAATAATTTCTTACTAACTTGCCAGTTGACATTTTATTAACACTTGCTTATTAATCGGAAACAGGATTAGTAACCCGTTTACCATTTTTTGAAATCTAGCACTCTGAGAGCTTATACAAAATTCATTTCTCTCTTCTGTTTCAAAACGAGATCCTATTAAGCCATTTAACTTTTGCTTTAATCTTCAGTACAGTTGTTTATTAAAATTTCACATCGAGAAAATATGAATTTTATCATTGATCAACATAAGCCGAGTATGTGTCCATCAATAATTACTTTCTGCATCTCTTGACACTGAACGTATTCACTTTAATCATATTTCCCCCGCAGATATTCCAAGTCGTGAAAAAGTATCTGAATGCTTGACATTCAAGATTATTAAACTCCACTTCCTTGTCCATTAACTTCAAGTAGACCAATATGGGTCAGTAAGTGATGAGGATTTGTTTTAATTTACATCCTAAATTGTTTTTAAACACTACCTCATTTGTTTTGTTTTTCCAAGTTCAACTAAAGTATCTTCGACAACATACGATCAGTTGAAGTAAGTATACAATTTTTTTAAAATTTCTTGATATCATTTAAAAGTCAAAGTGTATAGATTTTTTTATTATCATTTTCACAGTGAGTAGATGATATTGTTGGTATACTATTTAAAGCTAATTTTAATAAAAATGAAAGGATTCTGGATCTACATTAAATTTCATATCCGTTTCTTTGACTGAACTTATCTGTATTCTATTTCGTACTTGTTAGTAACCACCAACTAGTTCAACTCGCAAAATTAGACTGATTTGATGAATCAATGCAAATAGTCTGTTCAAATTTGTGCCAGTAAATTAAATTTTGTAAAATTAAGAAATGGTATTCATACAACTGGTGAAGACGTTGTTCAGTGACCGAAGTCAAAACTTGTAACTAAAGGGACATAGTGTAAAATCAGTAATCTGATGGAGATATTGTAGTCATTTAAGATTCGGGTTTTCCTTTAAATCTCTCTCATTATTCTTATATATAATAAAGATACACAAAAATGAGGAGGTTTAGTGAAAAGAAATCAGTTGTTTGTTTAATTGCAGTAAATAAATTGCACGCACTTTGTGTGTTACATTCGATTAGTTTAACTATCGTACATATTTGCACAAACGATCATTTGCGAATGAAGAAAGATTTTTAGAGGTTGACCTACTGAATTTCTTTTAAATTGCCGTTTTCTCGAGTGGACTATTCAGTGCCAAAATAACAAACGACAGATAATGAGCATATCTGTTTATAAGAAATCCAATTTTGAATAAATATCGTATATGAACGTTGGCTGGTGTGTGCTAGTTAAAGAAAACATTTGAAAAGTCCCAATATCCTGGTTTTAAATACAAATATACAGTGAAAGGGTAAACATTGAACAATTTACTCATATTGTTAACAAACGATCATAAAGAGGAGAAAACAGTAAAATATAGTTGAAATAATTGCCTGCCTTGCAAAATTTAGTTTCTGAGTGGTGATAATTTAAGTTCGAATAACTTATTCAATTAGATTTCATACATCCAATTAGGTATCTAAAAAATAGTTGTAAATAGTGATGTCACATTTGTTTATAAAAATTTATTTGTCAGTGTATAAAATCTGTATGATCTGATTATTTAGGCGTTGAATATTTTGAAGATATACAGTTCTTGCAACAAAGAATAAACATTATAGGGAAACTTAAGCAACAAACTTGCACTCTTCAAACAAGAGAACTACTTTTAAGTCGGTAAACACCATAGATTGATTTTAGCCAAGGAACTATTAAAAAATGAGTGAATACGGGACAGTTATTTCGTCCTGTATGATAATGTCAGTAACTCATACCCACAGTTTTACGTCATACTATGTGTCATTATCTGCCCAACTTCACAGTCTAGTGATATTAAGGTCTAGCTTACTGTTGATAAGATAGTTTCAAACATTTGGGTGCAGAGTTAATAGAAAACATCAAAAACTACACTGCATTTGTAAAAATCTATTGTCCTCGGACTGAACTGTCGAGTGAGATATTGGAGTCATCTTCATTTGAAACGCTGCGATCTTTAAAAATATGATTTCCTTTTTATTATTAATAAGTTATTTTAAAGGAAGAGGACAGCTTGACTGAAATATTTTCTTTCGGTGTTAAAATAGTTTCGATTCCTATCCCCATTTGAAAAATTAAATTTCTCAGCTAATTAAACAACATTTTTGTTTATTTTCACAAATCAGTTTCTAATACTTGCTTGAATAATTATACAGAATGGATGAGGAATTATGTGGAAAGAATTTGTGATTATATTATTCATAATGTGTTGTCTAATAGTCGTTACTAAATACACACAGCAATTATCAAATAATTGTTCTATTCTCTACTTTCTGAATACAATAAATTCAGATCATATTTGCAGACGATGAATGTGTTCAGTTTGCACGAAACCATCAAACAAGAATTCCTGAGAAAACAAGCCGATCTATTCAATTTGAATGATGGTATGATATTTTGGTTTGCCACTAATATTATTCGATTTTGAAATGATGCCTGTTTAGATTTTAGTTTTATATTTGTACTAAAAGTAAGCAGAGACATATATTACAGTTGACGAAAATATTATGACTTCATTGAAATTAATTATAAGCGTGGTGGTTTACTTTGCCGTTCTACACGGAGCCATCAACCTCTAATTCAAGTACGATTAAGGATTTAATAAATATATTTCAAGTCCCAAATTAGTCAGTTTTGATGACCCTATTGTTTCTATATGTGTTTACATTCTCATTAGCTGTTGTCTTATGTCAATCATTGACTATGTGACTTACAGATCAAATGAGATAAATGTTTAGAAAATTACTTTTATGGCTTAAAAACATTCAGGAATTGAATAAATAATGTTTCTCACCAAATTCTAATCTAATAGCTATTTTCACCTAATTATAAAGAATAAACTGACAATACATTTTCAGTGATATATTTTCTTATGGCTATCTAATAAAAAGACATTCGAGTCCCAGAGTGAACATCAACTCTGAGATGCAGGTACATCCTGCTGATGAGTCCCAAATTGGACGAAACGCGCGTACTGGATTTCACTGCTAGCCACTATCCATCATTGCTTACAAAAAGACATCAAAACATTGTTTGTGCAACACATTTCTTCAAAGTAATACTACTAACAAAACTATATTAAGAATAATTTTAATTTATGAAATGATTTGCTTACCACATAAGTTATTTATCAAATAATTATAACCAATTAAGTATTTCTTCAAATTTATATGCATAAATTGACTATTTGATTATTCTACTAATGTTTTTTTTCCACCCAACATGTTACTTTATTTATATACAGATGAAATAAGCTCATTACTGTCGGTTATCTCATCGGCAGATTAAACACCGAGATCGTTACTGTAATACATCAACCATATCTCAATTAAATGAACTATATTTATTCTTATTGAAAAACAAAACACAACTTAATTATACACTGGGCAATATGATATATTCCTATAAAAATTCAATTAGTTACATCTTATTAAATACTATCTGTTTCGTTTCTTGAATCATTTTTTAAAAAATAATAAAATATTCTATAACAAATTGAATCATTTATATCATTTTCCATCTATTTCATCGCATTTTCATTTTCTGAATTTGAGTTCATACTTATAATTGAAAAGCTAACTTTTGAACTTGGAACATTGATACTATTATTAATGTTATTATTATTGTTGTTACAATTATTTTTATGATCAATATCTGTTAGCCTGTTAATATCAGTTTCTACATTTCATTCTTGTGTGTTTAAGTGGACAAACCAGGAGTAGGTATTTGCACCCTTTTAATCAATAGCTGTCCGTTGTCTGTAACCAGTTCTTTATTTTGAAAAGTCAGTCTCAGGCATTTGAACTGGTTATTTTCCAGATAGTTGTGTAACATCAATACATATTCAGTTTAACACATGAGTGGATCATGGATACAAATGAATGTAAGCACATGTTGAAAACTAATTTTCATTGACTTATCTTACCTCGATATTATAAAACTCATTGCATAACACCACCTTAGACTATTATTACCTATTTATCCTAACAAATATATGTTTAAAATAATAGTCTTTTTACAAATTTTTTGACGTTGCAGAAATGAGGCCGTTGTGTGAGGGTAATATTTAGCCACTAAATCATGTAAACATGCCATAAAGTTATCTATAAATACGGAGACTTTAAAGTATTTTGTGGGATAAGCGTTTTCAGGTTCGTTTACACAATACTAAAATGAATGATATGTAAGATTCGGTTGATTAAGTGAATATTTTCCTCATTCTCAAGCTCACAACTAACATCTCAGCATATATATTTCTTCTCAAGAACTTCCTAAAGTCTACTTTGTTTATTCTGTACATAAATTATTTTTCATTTTTCGTAATCGATGTGCTATTAATCAAACAGCATGCATTCGTATGAAACTTCAAACGTTACATATAGTTCTCCTCATTCGTCTTCAACTAATGTTAAACCCAAGAAGTCGTTAATGAACTTCAAAAGGCTGTGATAATAGTGATATTTAGTCACAAAATTAGATTAAAATATAAATTCGAAATACAATAAGTATTTTCCTTCATTTATTTAGATTCGTTTTAATCATATTCTAGCAGTTTGTTTATTTAATAACTTTAATACTAAAAGTAGACCGTAGTTATTGTTCGTAAACCTATATGTTTTTAGGTGAGATTAATCACGCAGTAATCTTATGCGAGGTGCCAGTGAAAGCCATTGAGGACTAGACAACTTTTTCATCCTAGTATGGAACTCTTCAGAAGTGCCCACACACGACCCCTACAGATCCATCAGGTCCCGTGTATTCCAGGCAATTTTAATTGCTATATTATAACGTTAATTCAATGTTAAAAATGTTTGATTTATGAATTTTATTCTGTGTATAATAATTTTAAAAGTCCATATACGTGTATATGATGAATGATACTACACATATATCACTTACAAATAATTAAGAAGGAACGAATTGAGCGAAGAAATTTCTTTCCAATTAGTTTCTTCGCTCAATTCGTTCCTTCTTTATTTAACAAATGGCAAAATGAGGATATTCACTATATTACAAATAATTAACAAACGTTTGTTGGATCATTTTATAATGATACCTTTTTAAGCAACTGGAGAGCAAACAATTAAAAATTGAAACATCATTATTGATTAAATCACATTAAGTTCAAAGTTCTCTGAAACACCGAGGCATCAAATTGGGTTTATTGAAAGAGTTATTAATATAAATTTCATATCTCAACTTGTCCATTTATTCATTTCAGAATGATATTTTTACGATTCTTCTTTGAATGTCATATTAATTTTTTCATTAGTTAATTACTAAAAGCCGTCTTAATTACTGAGGATATTTTGAAAGAGTACTTAATCTCTTAACAATCAACTAAAATAAATACGTAAAGAAAAAATAATTAGTTGTTAGGGTGCTGAAATGAAAAGTATAGAATTCAAGAGAGATCAACAACATTTTTGGTAGCATTCTATTAGGGTCACATGATGTGATTGTTAGAACACTATGTCAATATAAGAAAACTAAACAACTAATGACGGTGATCCTGAAACGAAAAAGCGAATTACCTGAGCAAGTTTTATGGATCAATCCATCTCCATTTATGGTGTAAGTCACATTGGTTGACGGTCTAGAAACTTACTTTTCCTGCTTTGGCCAACATTTAAAATAGATTAGATCAATATATGTAACACTGCTCTTAGCTCAGCAAGTCTGAGGTTTATAAAAACTTTAAAAACACGAAGGGTTAGTGAAGCATCATTAGGCCCTAGGCAAATTATTAGTCAAGTTGAACTCACGCACACATTAGGAGACCGACCCCTGAACTTTTTCTCTGGCCTCGAGAAGGTCATAAATGAATCGTTAAATAACATAGATCTAGCACTTGTACAAATTTTTCCCCGTCTATGCGTATGAGCTTTCGTTATTCTGCTGTGGTGTTTGAATGAACTAATGATTCATTTGTACTTGTTGAATACTTGATTTCGAATTCCAAATACAGTACATTCGTTCGTGCTTATCTAGTACTTCTTGATCCAATTGCGTTATTTCTGGTATTCTTATTTCGTACTTCAATTCAAATACTCCTAATCATCACATTGGCGTCTCGATTGAGCCTGTGATGGAATTGTTGAATATACATTCAGATTTTGATGCTTTTGAGGATTACTTCGAAGGGTTCGAAATCTGGGCTATGGCCAAGGGAGATGATGAGGATGTTAATATCGTAGCACATTTCCTCACATTCATCGGAAAAGAAGCACATAGCTTATTAAAAACTCTGGCTTTACCGGAAAAGCCCATTTAGCTTTCTCATACAACTCTCAAGGATCTACTGCTAGACTACCTTAAGTATACAAATTTCGAACGTGGTAAAGGAGGAAGATTTCGTAAAATGATTCATGAGGATATAAAAAATTCCACTGCATTACGTCATCCCAACCCAGTGCATACTCAACGCTATACAGATAATTCATTGAGAAGTTGAGATGCAGTTCTCGAAGAAGGGCACAAGTTCGGTCAATGCTTGTCCTGTGGCAGGTTCCACCCTTTTAATTCATGTAAATATCGTAATTCTGAGTGCTTTAAATATGGTGATATTGGACATATTCAGTCAGTTTGTAGTACTACTCTTCATCTTGCTGCAACTAATATTAAGTCTTGTAATTCTGATTCTATTAAGTTGAGTATTTATAATGATCATTTATTTTCATCTACGATTTCAAAAGACAGTGTACAGTCATATAGCAGTTCAGAGTTAAGTGAAACTCAGAATCCTTGTGAGACAACAGTTTCTAATCAATCAACTTATCAGATTTCTCATGTCATTGTACCAGATATGGTTTTCTCTAATGATTCACTTATTTATGACGAAATTTCTTGCAAATCTGAGGAAAGTATGTTAAATGAACCTAGTCATGATCAAAAACCTGATGTAGTTTTGATAGATGGTGATTTTTCTAGTGATCCTTTACTCTGCAATGACATTTTTAATAAATTGGAGTAAACTATTTCAGGATAATCAAATCTTGATGTTCTATCAAATATTATTTGTCCTCATAATGCATTTGTTGCTCTTGGGAAACTTGTACAATACGAAGCACAAGTACTAAGTGAGCTCGATTTTGATTACAATTCTGATGATTTCATATCAACTGCTGTTTATCCTTATCGCGAAGTCACTTCTAATGTTTACTCTAACCAGTGTGAGGATGGAAGCCTTATTACTCATAACTTGGGGATATAAAGATCCAATATTATTTCGTGGGGGAAGATAGTCTAAAGTCTATGGTTCAAATTCTAGGTAGTAGCGGTTTCAGTACACAACCGACATGCTGATTACACAATCCAAGGAAGCAGGTGAGTCTGTTCCAATTTCGGTTGTTAATTCTAATACTAATGAGCACATTCTAGATAATACAGAGTTTTTATCCAATACAATGTCGGACAGACAAAGGATGAACTTAAGAAGACGTACAATCGATTACAGACACTTAGACTCTAATTTAAGCTGTGGCGGATATGGTGTTTGAATGAAATAATGATCCATTTGTACTTGTTGAATACTTGATTTCGAATTCCAAATACAGTAATAATAATAATTTATTCTGAAAATAATAATTACAGAATTCACGCCAGTTTACAGGCATGATCAGTTTGATATAAATATTAACATTAGACGTGCAGAACAAACATGTGATAGAAGAAATTTTTAAGTAAACCAGTTCAGTAATTGTTTAGGTAGTACATATATTACAGCGATCTAATGCATCATCCGGTAATTTTTAATATTTTTTAAATGGACAGCCTGTTGATTTATTAACGGAGTAATTAAGGTCAATTCGTGTGCCAGATCGAATTAATGATAATTATCTACAACTAGAGAAATTAAAACGAAAACAGAGAGCACGGAACAACAAAGAAGTAATTACCAAAATATATCAATCAGGTCTACCTAAATGCGTGTGTCATGTGACACAGTGATATACTGTTGATGTTATTCAAATTAGTTAAACTTGCTAGGGACGGTGTTAACATAATGACAGCAAGTGGGTGGTTTTACTTAGGGAATTCACTAATAAGAATGGCTAAACATTTAAGGTTCCTAAAATATCACTTGTGGAATGAGATACACTTGAAGTGCTAGACCATTCAATGCATTTTCAGAGGAGCAGTATGCATCGATGCAGCGAACAAATAATGGGAGTGATTTTATCGTGCGGATAGATTGTGGTAGGTTATTCCAGAGTCTAGAAAATTTACAGGTGAAGTAATTCATATAAAGAGATGATTTAGAATGAGTTTGTTTCACTAGTGCCAAGGAATTACGGATGTCATAATGAGAGGTTTCTGCATATTGAATCGCGTGATCGGATGTAAACGATAGTTTATGAAGTAGTTTGAAGAAAAAGATAAGATTTAGTTTGAGTCTCCTCCTCCATAAAGGGTCTAGCCCAAGTTTATTACATCTAGAATTATAAGTTAAGGTACAATCAGCTCCAAGAATACGAAGTGTAAATCGTCTCTGTACTGATTCCAGCCTTAATTTATCCTTTATGCGCGCACTGCTAAGAATAAACGTGCAATATTCTAGAAGAGGTCGAGCACAAACTTTGTACATTAGAATACGTGACTCATTGTTGTAAAGATTTCGAGTTATGTAACCTATTAGACGTTGAGACTTAGAGGTCTGTTTTAATATATGTTCTGTAAACGACAAGTCTTGGGAATATCTAAGTCCTAAGTCTACTACTGTATGTAACCTAGATAACACTTCTCCATTTATGGTAATGTCTAGGTTGAGTGATGTATCGCCGAAGCATATCCATCCACATTTAGCCGTATTAAGCTCCAGTTGCCATTTTAAGCACCACTGTGCTACCTTGTTAAGCTCCATGCTGATGCAATTTTGCATATTTTTCAGCTCATGTGGAGAAAATGAATATACTACTTTAAGATCATCTGCATATAGAAGGGGCTTACCGACACAAAAACTTTCACAAATATCATTGATAAACACTAAAAAGAGCAAAGGACCT